ATTTTATGTTTGTGGGTGGCAATCTTGTTACGTGGAGGAGCAAGAAACAAAAGGTGGTGTCTAGATCTAGTGCTGAGGCCGAGTATCGGGGAATGGCCCATGGTGTTTCTGAGTTACTATGGTTGAGGAGATTGTTGAAAGACCTTGGTTTTGGGCCTAATAAACCCATGGAGTTATATTGTGACAATACGGCTGCGATTGCAATTGCTCATAATCCTGTACAACATGACCGTACAAAACATGTGGAGGTTGATCGAAATTTCATTAAAGAAAAGTTGGATGCGGAGATTGTGTCCTTCCCCTTCATCCGTTCAGAGTATCAGTTAGCTGATGTTCTTACAAAAGCTGTTTCTACAAGTATCTTTCTCAACTCGCTTGACAAGTTAGGCATGCGTGACGTCTTTGCTCCAACTTGAGGGGGAGTGTTGGCGAGTAGAATATATCCTATTCTATTTGGGTTTTATTTATTTTTCCTTTTGTATAGGTATTATGTAATTAGGATTCCACTTATTTCCTAATTAAACCCTACTAGGGTTTGTAACCTGTATTATAAATACCTCCCTTCGAAGAATGAAATATATCTGAAAATATTCTGCCCATATTGTTTGACTTGTTACAATGAGACCAATTTGTGCCGAAATAGAGATTTAGAGGATGACTTGAGTGGATAATTGAGTTGGAGAACTAAGATACAGCTCGGACACAAGTTGAAAGACCATTTTAGTCGAAAACTCATATATTTAACTTATTGTGGTATATCTTTATTGTGACAGGGGAGTGTGAATATGCAATTCGATCATATTGTGATTCATTGACCGGATTTTCCTCCTTCAGGGGGTTTTTATAAGGCAAGGTTTTAATGACGCCACTCTTTGGCACACAAGTTCTGTCAATTGTAATTAATTGGTTATGGATTGTTTATTTTCACATGTTATTTCTGTAATCTATCATGAAACAAGCATTTCACCCATGGACCTTAATTTTTCCATAAATTATATGTGTCTGTAATAATAGATAGTAAGTTCAGTAATGAACTTTTATTCCATAGCCAACAACATAATAAAGAAACCAATGAGCTTCTGGAGAAGTTCTCCTAACAAAGTGAACAAACCAGCTCTCTCTACGTATTGCGCCTTTTGATCTCATTTTCATGGATTGCGCGTTCCATCTGCACTCCATTATGTTTCCAGATTTTTGTTGGGGAAAAAAAAAGAATATTAGAACAAAACGAGAGGAAAATATGAAGTAAAAAATGCATGTTAAAGAGAATTACCGTTACCTGAACAATGTGATTCAGATTCTCCCGCAAGACGAGAAACTCTTGGTTAACAAGGTCAAGAACAATAATGCACCTACAAGCATAAGATTTGCGTCAAAAACAGTTTTCATAAGAGAGGTTTTTATCCATGTAGATCAAATAAGGGTTCTTTTTATAAAAGTCTGAGTGAATATTAAGAAATATAATTTGGCTATAATAGTCTCCAATTATTACTCTTCATGGTCATTTACATCACTTGCATCTCGGAGCTGGCTACAGGCTAACGCCATCCGGCAACCACCAACACTGTAAGTCCAAATTCAGCAGAGAGGATCAATGTAATTAAATTCTTTAGTGTGACAAAAGAATTAATTTTAGTCCAAATCCACCAAAACTTAAAACCATGGTTAGTCTTTATGTATAGTAGGCGTGAAAAAATTATTTTGTTACTTCTTTTTTTATGGGGGAGAGGGAGGAGTAATCCAACTCTTTGTAAATCCTTGCAGGTTTTTAAAATTTTTCG